ACACACAGAGGCGCACAGACCACGGCAAAACTCGGCAGTTTTGCTGTTCGATTTTGCAAACTTATATTTAGAAGGGCAACGATCTTTTGCCGCGGCAGCTCCAACCTCCGACAGAGGAGAGGAAAGGTTCTGGGAGTACGCGCGCGGTCTCTCTCTCTCTCTCTCTCTCTCTCTCTCTCGTGATCGGTCGCCGAGATTTCTCAACACTCCGCTCATACTTATCCGCTCGGAGTACGAGCGGATACCAAATCCAACCTCTCTGTCTCCCGATTTCCACGTTTCTCCATTTTCCTCTCCGATCTTTCCCTTTTTTCTTCCTTCCTTCCCTCCTTCCTTCCCTTCTTCCTTCCTTCTTTCCTTCCCTCCTTCCCTCCCTCCCTCCTCCTCCCGCCTTGTTCGATCGCTTCGTCCCACCCCTCCCCTCCTCCCCCTTTCTCGGCCGGGGATCGTATTATTACACGCCACCCGAATGTTTTGCATCGCGGCGCACAGGGATAATGGGTGTTGCGTACGCGTCACGTTTCGAGTTTGCAATAATTACCGGTGGCACGTAGGATAACGGTTGTTTAATAAGTTGGGCGAGTACTCTACTCTCGCGCGATCTCGCGAAGAAAGATCGTACGTACGTGCGTGCGTGCGTGCGTGCGTGCGTGCGTGCGTACGTTGAATTTGGAAAAAAATAAATGGAGAGAAACGTAATATATACGTGTATATATATACGATTGGTTGATTTTTATCGCCAAGATCGAAGGATGGAAGGAGCGAGAACGGGTACGTACCATCCTCTCGATGGCTTTGTCGAAGCGTCTGTCGCGGGGAGGGGAAGGGAGAGGAAGAAGAATCGGAGGAGGCGCGATGGATGGATGGATGGATGGATGGATGGATGGAGCGCTAGTTCGAAACGCTCGAAATCTGCCGCGGGGGATGGGGGGATGGGGGAGGAGGGGGGGGGAAAGCGCGCGGATGTTTGAGAGTTTGGGAGCGTGATCGCGCATGACCGCCCCTGTGAATGTAATCTTATCGTGGCGAGCGATGCGGTGAACGCGGGCTGCACAACGCGGAGCGGAGTCAACGAACGATAAAAAAAAAAGCGCGTAACCATACGCGCGACACAAAGAATAAACTCTATTCCGTCCGCTTCTCGCCCTCCTCTCCTCCTCCTCCTCCTCCCTTTCTCCTCTCCGCTCTCCGTCTCGCTCGCTCCGACTCCTCCACTCTTCCTCCCATCTCCAACGTGGAGAACATCCACACGTTGCAACTTGGAAGCCGTGTGTGGGCGCGCGAGTTCTCTCCTCCTCCTCCTCCTCCGCTCCGCTCCGCTCCCTTCCTCCCCCCCTCTCCTCCTCCTCCCTTCCGTCTCTCTCTCTCTCTCTCTCTCTCG